TTTAAATTTATATATTTTTTTTCGTAAATAAATATCTTTTTCTTATTTAAATAATGTCGCGTGATGATTGAATAATAAAAATTAAATCTTTTCGCGAATACATTTTTACTTGTAAAAAAGAAAAAAAGATATTACGAACCCCACAAAAGAGATTGTTTAATAATTAATATAATTATTAATATTTAGAAATATTCTTTCTCCATAATATAACGTTTATTTTCTTTATATAAAAATTAAATTTCCATGGGGGTTATTTAGTACAAATTTCACCAAAAAAAATTGTTCTTGTTCCTTTTGATTTTATGGATATAAATATAAAAAGTAAAAAAAAAATGAAGAAACAATTTTTCGAAGATATCCACCGAGTGGAGATTATTTGAGGGAAGATTAAAAGTGATTGAGAACGTACAGAACTAATTCACGTTCGGAGCTTGGAAGTGAGCCTTTAAAACCGTCTCGATCTCATCCGGCGGCCAACCCTCTCGGTTCCTCGAACGTCTCGTCGCGAAGCACAGACAATATGAGTTGCGTGTGCACGTGCACAGCTGGCCTCCTCCTATGTGTTACCACAGAGAGAATAAAAGAAGGAAGACAACTAAATTTAAAAGAACATTTTTATCAATACATTTCATCTTGTGCAAATCAATAAATTTGCAAATAACAAAAATCAAAATGTATTTTAAAATTGCATAAAAAAAGAAATCTTTTATCTTCCCCTTTATCGTTTAGTTTGCAATTATTTTTAATAAATAATGTTTAAACAAATTACATTAAAAAATAAAAAAGAAATATATTGTTCAAACGAAAATACAGTGTGAAAAAATGAATTTTTATATTTCAATCAAATGAAATCTTTACAATTATTTAATAAAGAAACTTATGTTACGGTACTGTATCTTTCTGTCTCTATCTCTCTTTCTCGTTTGAATGGTACTGGATAAGGGAAGTGACGTCACGACCGGAAACTGGCTACTCGCGTGTACGAGGCCAAAATCCGCGCGGAGACAAACGTGTGACCCAGTTTACAATGCGGCCAAAAAAAAGGAGCTCGCACTGATCATCCGGGCAAAATTGGATCTTTCGTTCCTACGTTTCTACATTCCTATGTTCATTCGTTCTCATACGTTCCTATGTTCATTTGTTCACACATTCGTTCCTACGACTATTTTTTTAATCTCACACTTACGAATGACCCTTCGAACAAAGGGTTCCGTTTACGAAAGGAAATGAAACTTTGCAAATGATCAAAATCGGTTCAACATTTTTCATCGTGGTCGTTAAAATTACCATTACCATTTTTGTTTCTTCTCAAAAAATGATCTCTCGATTATATTTAATAATTAATTAAATGTAAAATAACACTGAGAACGATTTTTATATCAGATTATTTTAAACTTCATCTCGAATGAGATTTAAAATATGTAATTACTTTGAATTATTATACAGTTTTAATCATTTTCATTTTACTTATTATATATACATATGAAGGTTTATACTGTATATACTATAATTATTTGCAAATATCTTAAAAAAAACGTATTCTCCAATTATTTTTAATTTAAAACATTTTCCTATAATAATATTTGAATTTTCTATAATATTATATTTCTATAAAAAAAAAAAAATAAAAATTAAGAGGAAATAGAAAAGTTGATAAGTGACGTCAATATCTATCTCTCTATCTAATACACTGGATATAATTAAATTCATTTATTTATTTCTCCTATATATCAAATTTACCGTAATTTCCGGGAGTGACTTGGAGGTTCGGTTATCTCATTAACTCTTGAATATATGCCTTTTATAGATGTTGCGACATCAAGAAGGGGTAAAGGCTTAGTTCGTTGACCCAGGCAAAGATCTCGTAAGACTACTATACCGATAGAAAGATTGATTTTTCTTTATCTCTTTTCTTTTTCTTTTTTTTTAATCTTTCTCTCTCACTCGCTCACTCACTCACTCTCTCTTTCTTTCTCTCTCGTTTTTTTTCCTTTCATCAAAAAGTCGAATTTATCGTTCGAAGGCTAAAATTACTAACCGGTCTTTTACGTTCGCTGTATGAATGACAGTCTATCATTCATTCATTCATTCTTTCTTTCTTTCTAAATGAATGAATAAGAATGAAAGGTAAAAAAAGAAAAGAAAAGAAGAAAAATATAAGAGAAAGAAAGAACAGAAAAGGAAAAAGGTATTCCGCGTACGGTAACCATTGTGACGCACATTGTGTGTGCGTGTGGGAAAAAAAGTATTTACTACGGCGAGAAGTGGTAGAGAAGGATTTGCGTTTCATTCACTAAGAATTTTTCAATGGTAAAAGAATGAGAAGTTTTTCTTGTAAATGTTACGGTCAAAGCTGAAAATCAGTCATTGCTAGTAATTCCTCGGCATTACTATGAATGCAATGAACCTGATCCGCAAACTTTTTGAATCTTTGCAAATCGATTTATAACTCAAATGAGTATTCTACGCGTAGATAAAAGAGTGCACTTTAATTTAATATAAAAATCATTAAGATCCGCTTGCTCTAAGTATACAAAATTTTTGCCGAAACTTTTCAAAGAAAATAACAAAGTTGTACAATTTACAGCATTGCATTCTCTAACATTTTTTGAACTTTACATGCTAAATTTATAACTCGATATGGTATTCTACGCGTAGACAAAAGAGTGTTTTGTAATTTAATATAAGTTTCATTAAAATCTATTTAATTTTAGTATAAAAAATATTTGCCAAAACTTTTCAAAGAAATTAGCAAAGTTGTACAATTTACAGCATTGCATTTCTCTAACATTTTCTGAACTTTACATGCTAAATTTATAACTCGATATGGTATTCTACGCGTAGACAAAAGAGTGTACTTTAATTTAATATAAGTTTCATTAAAATCTATTCACTTTTAATATAAAAAATATATACCAAAACTTTTCAAAGAAATAGCAAAGTAGTACAATTTATAGCATTGCACACAATCTCTGATATTTCTTTGAAAAGTTTCTGTAAATATTATATATATATA